AATATATTTAATATAATATAATTAATATTTAAGGATCTGCCTCAAAGTCATCTTACTCCTGTTCATCATCATCATCACCGATGGTGAGACCAGTTGGCACAATAACTGTCCTCCATTTTCCAGAGAAATCTTAGTTTAAAACAGCAAAATATATTCAACATTATAATTGTTATTACTGTTACCATAAATATTAAGATTATGTCTAAAAAACAGCAGATTTTACCTAAAAATATTCATAATTTCTTTTACTTGTTCAGGACTCATGTTCAAAAATGGCAGGTGTGATTTTCATGCTATTTTACCAACTTCATGAGTTTACCATCTATACTCATGTATCCTTATTTAGCACATCCAGTCTACCTGGTGATGCTAGTTTCATAAACCTAGCAGTGTTCGTTTTAGAGATCTGACCGTAAACATGACAGCAGTTCTCTGGCTCTGCAGACAGACCAATATTTGACGCGTTATAGCTCCGCGCTGATTGGTCAAACGGTGCTGTGGTGCAAACGTGACAAGACCAAGCCCCCATAATTCGGGTCTGAAATTGAAGCCAACACGGAAGTGACAAAAATTGCAGTTCCACCCTCATCCACTAGGGGCTGGTGTCAGAAGCGAGCAAATCCTCATTGACTCCCATGTTAAAAACACCAATTTCACAGCAGAAATAAACATGTTTACAGCCTGGTACCAGAACATGTTTTTGGTTTAAATGATCTAGTTTACACTAATGACAACTCTGAGGGGGGTGAATTTCTTTTTGTCACTCTTCTGTTTAAGTGTATTAAAAGCCTAAAAGTCTGAATAATTAATGAGCATCAGACCCACGTGACCGCAGAGCTAGCTCCGGGGAAAGGCCTTAACCTGAGCCTCACTGTTGTTTACAACATGGCATTCCAGGATTTTTTAACTGCGTCCTCGTCTTTTCCGACAGTGCGAGCCATTTATCTCCAAGAATTATTAACAACATGTTGATCACAGTTAACTTTGAGAGCTGAATCATACAAATGTCTGTATTTACGAACCTCTGCCATACTAGTTCTTGCCGGTCCGCCATGTTTTTCCACATCCGACCACCCGCGTGGTTAGAAAATTTCCTAGGTGCGCGGTGTGGAAAGTTTGGGCCATGCAGAGGCGCGGTGGAGGGGTGTGGTTGTTAAAATGACGCAATTTTGCCGCGCGGACCTCGCGGACGCATCAAGCATAAACCAACCTTAAAGCACCAATGCAGAAAAATTGAGCACTTGTGGAAGAAAACCCATCCCCACGTCCATCTGCTGCACCTAAAGGACCTTCTGACATCCTTTAACTCTGCAGTCAGAGACACTAGGGTTTCCTACTTTTCCAACCTGGTGTCCCAGAGCAAAGGGAACCCCAAGGAGCTGTTTAACACCATCAGCAGCATCGTCTCTCCTGCCTCTCCTACAGCCTCCATCCACTCTGTTGCAGACTGTGAGAACTTTCTGTCTTTCTTTGTGGACAAAGTCAATAAGGTTAGATCTAGCATCTCTCCTTCAAAACAATGTTGATTATGGTGTGTGTGTGTGTGTGTGTGTGTGGGTGTGTGAGAGAGAGAGAGAGAGAGTGAGAGAGAGAGTGAGTGAGAGAGTTAAAATATTTTTTTTTAAACCCGACCGGAGCAGAGGCAGTGACCGACACATGTACGAGCCGTTTTCAGCTCTGTCTTGTCAAATGCAGTTTTACTCGTTTCACGCTCGTATTCGTTAAAAATGCTTTATCCGTACCGGATACTAGTCTGAAACAAGTATCTGGCTCATCCCTAGCTGTAACCACCCTGCCCTGCCTCCTCCTCCTTGCTGCCTGCCGGCTGTGATCACAGGCAATAACAGAGTAGTTCCCGCTGCTTCTTCGGGAAACAGCGCAAAAAAAAAAATCTATAAAATGGGATCTTGTAGGTGTGGCGCTAGGATTGCAGCCGTGGAACCAATGCAGTATCATTAACGTATAAAAGAAAGAGTAATGGTCCAAAGACCAATCCTTGTGGTACTCCACAACTAATATTATGTATAGAGGATTTTATATTATTAATTTCCACAAACTGTTGTCGGTTCATCAAATAACTTCGGACCCACTCGTGCTACTCCTCTAATCCCGTATTTGTATAATTTATCTAATAATATTACATGATCCAGCGTATCAAATGCTTTTTGTAAATTTACAAAACACTCACCAAATATTGTTTATTATCTATTGCTATTGAAATCTCTTCTACTAAGTCAGTTATTGCTGTTGCAGTTGAATGATTAGAACGAAACCCATATTGACTATTACGCAAAACACTACGCCTATTAATAAACTTTTCCAATCTAACAACAAATAATTTTACCAGAATTTTTGAAAACTGCGGAAGCAGTGATATTGGCCTATAATTAGAGTATTCATGCTTATTTCCACACTTAGAGTGGTATCACTAGCAGTTTTCATATTTTCTGGAAATATTCCTTTAACAAATGATAGATTGCATATATATGTAGAAGGTTTAATAACTAAGTCTATGACGTTTTTCACAAGAGACATATTCATATCGACATAATCATTTGAAGTCTCATTTGGACACTATTGGACTATTTTTAATATTTCACTCTCATCTACTTTATCAAGAAAAATACTATCCACAATATCTTTTATTATTTTTCCAGTATTATCATTTTTAACTTTAGGAATTTGTTTAGCTAAATTTGAGCCGATGTTCACAAAAAATGTATTAAAAGTCATTTACTATTTATTTTAATCATAAATATCCATCGTTTTTTATCAAGTAATTTGGCATTTGTGGTTGTACTTTATCTTTTTTTTAGAAGTTTACTAATTACACCCCATGTGTTATTTGTGTTATCCTTGTTTTTATTTAAAAATTGACTGTAATACTCACTTTTCTGACGTTTTATAATCCATAACAATTTGTTTTTATATTTTTATATCTCACTTCTGATTCTTTTGTCCTAAGCTTCAAAAACCTTATATATGAATAATTTTTTTCTTGCAGGCCTTTTTATACCATTTGTCATCCACGGTTAATTTTCTTGGCATTACCTCCTATTTTGATCATTTTACAGTTCTTATTGTACAAAGTCAACAGTATGTTCATGAAGGTATTATAAGCAATATTCATGTCATCTTTGTACACATCATCCCATTTCTGCTTCTTTAGGTCTTCTTTAAAGGCATTCAGTGCTGTGACTGATCTATTTCTTACATATACTTCTGTTGTGTCTTGGACAGGTTCGCACTCAAGAACAGAAAATATGGGAAGGTGGTCACTCACATCCATCAGTAAAATTCCACCTAATAACAACGTATCTTCTGTTGTCATGTTAGTAAAAATATTATCAATAATAGTTGCACTATGTGTTGTAATCCTAGTTGGTTTAGTGATCATAGGAAACAACCCTGTGCTATACATAAACTCCTCTGATATATTCTGCCCTCCCTCTAGATCTACATTAAAATCACCACAAAGAAACAGTTTTACTTTGAGACTTATCAAACACCTCAATTATTCCATCTGTAAATTTCTCTAGACATGACCCAGGTTTCCAACACATGTGATGATAATATTCTTACATATTTCATTGATTATCTCTACTGTAGCCATTTCCATAATATTACTAATAACAGTTGTCATGTGCCCCACAAGTTTACATTTGAATTTAACATGTACACTGTCTGCTTTTGCATCGTTCTACTTTAGTTCCTATCAACTATTTACAGTTCTAAAGGGTTTGGTGTTTTTAACCAGCATTTGCTTGGTCACAATGTTGGATTTGTGTATCTTAGACACTAGCTCCGCCTAGTAGAAGTGGTCCAATGAAATAGACTGGTGTCCTGGTGAAGCCACAACAACCTGGTGCTAAACACGACAGCGGAGGTTGTTGTGGACAACTCCCCCCATAACCCTGTCTGACACCCCCATAACAATGGTGGACTCATGCATCTTCCTGGGCACCACCGTAAGCCAGGACCCCCAGTGGGAGCCCACCATCACCTCCATCATAAAAAGGCCCAGCAGAGGATGAACTTCCTGATGGAGCTGAAGAAATTCAACCTATCACCACAGTCGATGAGGCAGTTCTACACCGCAGTCATCGAGTCATCCTCACCTCTTCCACCACCGTGTGGTACGCTGGAGCTACCATCAGAGACAAGAAGAAGCTGCAGCGTGTTGTACGCTCTGCTGAGAAGGTCATTGGCTGCTAACTCCCTCCATACAGGATCTGTACTCCTCCAGATCACTGAGGCGTGCAGGTCGGACCACAGCTGACCCGTCTCACACTGGACACAGTCACTTCTACTCGCTACCATCTGGCAGGAAGCTCCGATCCATCCCGACCAGAACCTCTCGCTACAACAAGAGTTTCTTCCCCTCTGCTGTCAGACTCATGAACAACAATCGTTGACCTGCCCAGTCCAGCTGCTTTGTTTCAGTCACGACCTGTGTTGTGTTTGCACCTGACCCGCTCTGGCCTGTAGCTACACTGACTTATATAAAGTAGCTGCTTCACTAATTATTGATTCCCTTTATTATTATTTCATTGTGTTTATTTCTTAATTCTATTTTTTACTTATTTATTTATAGTTTCCTGCACCAAGAACCGCAGCAGTTTCCTAAAGCTGTTATTCTCACACACGACAATAAAACCTGAGTCTGAACGGATCAAATCCTGATGCACTTCGACAGAATAGATGTTTAATATTGATGTTACTGTGCGTTTTGGGGCTCATCAGTGACATCACTCACTACCAAAGCAGTCTCAATGTGCCGACTTCTGTGCAAAGTTCTAAAAGGGTTGAATTTGAATGGAGACAATAGCTGAGGGGACCGGGACATCCTATGTCCTGGTCAACTTCCTCATTCCAGGATCATGTAGCCTATAGCACACGATCAGCAGAAAATAGCCCGAATGAAGCATCCCTACTTTAAACTGGTGACAAACAAGCAAAGCCATGTTTTAAGTTGTCTAAAACATAACTTCATTTATTACCTGAGTTGATTGAGAAGGTGGCTTCCTCACGGCTGGTTTGGTGTCTCCGCAATAGTATGGAGTCCTGAAGGAACACTTGATCCATGAGATAACAGGAAAAGTGGGGTGGGTCGCCCAGAGAAACGTGTCTATGACTCTGAGACATCTTTAAATGTGCCAGACTGCTAAGCAGTACTGACAGAGGCTGTAACAGTCCTTTGTTGTAGTTTTCTTTTTTAATCTTTACAACCGAAGTAACTAATGATAGAAGTAAGTGGGCTGCATAATCAGCCAGACAAGGAAAAGATGCTTAAACTGAAGAGGCGGAAGATGGGATGACATGTGGAAAAAAAAGTCTTCAGTTTCTTCTTGGACTTGGTAGCATTGTGTGAACTTGGTGACATTTGGGTTTTAGCTGGCAGGACAATTGTGCTTCTGGCGACTTTTCTGCTGTTGTTCTAACAGGAGCAAAGAAAAAATCTTCGGCCAAAGCATTTTACTGAGGACAAACTGTCCACATCCAGGGATCCCAGAGAGGGCCAAGAGGGTGGAACTAAACCTACAAAATCAATCAGAAACACTCCCGGAACACTGGAAATGAGTTAGTTAGAGACAGAAAGCAGCACAAACACATGGACAACGTCTCCACACACCAACACAACTTTAGCTCCGGACGCTAAGGCGGCTAAGCTAACGAGCTAAAAGTATCTTCACGTATTTACTGCTGCACCATGACTCGAAGCCTCTGCAGCTTCCTGAGGCCGGAGCAGCTTAAAACTAACAAACGGAAGTCATCAGTGAGACATAGAGACAGACATCTCTAGCAGCTTTTTAAAACTAACAAAATAAAAACCCGTCACCACACCAAGTTATTGAAAACAGCCACTTTTATAGTGTTTACGTCTATTAAACATAATTATAGTTAGGCTACTCCACCGAGTATGATCAATACTTTCACATTCTATTCATAGCCCAAAAACCGAGACTTGGTGCATCTGACTTTAAACATTATTGCGTTAGTTGATTTAAGCTAGCAATGCTAACTACTAACCAAGCTTAGCAGTGGTTCCTTCCTACTGTAGCAACTCATGGCCCCACGTGGAGCACAACTGACAGGTATACACATAGCATTACGACCAATGATCGACTTTAACCGTACATACAGAAAATGTGTTATATACAACTACCACCGCCCCGTCAGTTTCTTCTGAGCGTGCTAACAGGCCACTGACCCGCTTACACATTCAGATGACTGCGTAGTAATTACCGTAGTATTTTCACTGTCCTGGTATAAGTCAGCTGTACACGAACCAGGTGTAGACAATAAGAGGTGAAACTGGTGTTAACTGGTTCTTTACAATATTAAGATGTCTAAAAGCTCTGAGATACTCAGAGTCAGGCTCTCAATCCCGCAGACAATTGACTAATCCAAAATGGCGTCCACAGCGTCAAGTGGGAGGAGCTATCATCCTCCCAGGTAAATAAAGTGGACTTACTGTTTTTGCTTTTACATGACAACCTTTCTCAGTTCAACGTGAATATATATATATTTTTTCTTTATTTAGTAAATTTGCAACTTTGACCATGTTAAGTCCAAAATTTAAATTCAAAAGGAGCAGTTAACATGCTATAACATTTGTAAATATAGACAGCAACAAGAGACAAAAGAGCATAAAGAACAAGTAGAGTACAGCTTTCAATGAGGGTACAGCATTTCTCATATTGAATTAGGAAACCACTTTTGGAAGTTCAGCTTTCTGTTTATATATAGATTTTCGTTATATTTGTTGAAGTGTTTCAGGAATTTCAGATATAATTGAAATTCTATTAAAAACATTGAAGACAGGGGATGATTGTAAAATTCGTAGTTTATGGATAACAAATTTGGCTAAACAGAGGATGCTTTTATAGCAGAGTTCTTTATCTTTATTATTGAATATAATTTCAAATATTATCATATCTTTGGTGATGTGAACTGGGAGGAGTAATTTTATTTTGATCCACATCTCTAGCTTTTTCCAGAACAATTGTGTTTTCTGACATTTGTAAACTATATGATCTGTAGTTTCTATGTGACTTTCGCAAAAGGAGTAGTTGTTGCTATCAATATTAAAATGAGCTCTTAATAATTATTTTGAAGGATAGATTGCATTCATTATTTTAAAGTGGGTTTCTTTAGCTTTCGGTGGTATAGGAAATTTTAGGTAGATAGTTCTTATCTTCTCAATTGATATTTTATCAAATTTGTAAATTAAGTTATTTTTTTGAGATCGACAGGCGGATTGGTTCGGCGTCTGCAGTGATGCGGACGCTGAGCCGATCTGTCGTGGGGAAGAGGGAGCTGAGCCAGAAAGCCAGGCTCTCGATTTACCGGTCGATCTACGTCCCAATCCTCACCTATGGTCATGAGCTTTGGGTAATGACCGAAAGAACGAGATCGCGGATACAAGCGGCCGAAATGAGTTTCCTCCGTAGGGTGGCCGGGCTCAGCCTTAGAGATAGGGTGAGGAGCTCGGACATTCGGGAGGGACTCGGAGTAGAACCGCTGCTCCTCCGGATCGAAAGGAGCCAGTTGAGGTGGTTTGGGCATCTGGTCAGGATGCCTCCTGGACGCCTCCCCGGGGAGGTGTTTCGGGCATGTCCTGCCGGCAGAAGGCCCCCGGGTCGACCCAGGACACGTTGGAGAGGTTACATCTCCAATCTGGTCCGGGAACGCCTTGGGGTCCTGCCGGAGGAGCTGGTGGACAAGGCCGGGGAGAGGACGGCCTGGAGCTCCCTAGTTGGGATGCTGCCCCCGCGACCCGGACCCGGATAAGCGGAGGAAGACGAGACGAGACGAAGTTATTTTTTTGTTTGTTTTTCCAGGAAATAAAGATTCATTTAAGGCTGATCTTATTGTAAGATTGTTGCATTTTCTGTCAGTTAACAGAAGATCTTTAATAGATAAGATAGGAAGGGTTGGAATCGAACATTGATGTTTTAGATATTCTCGGGCTTGGATGATAAACTGTTTTGGAAGTGCATTATGTAACCTGTTAAAGTCAAGTTCAGAAGCCTTAAAATTGTATCTTCTGCAGAGATTGTCATAATTCAAGAGCTGACCATCTACATCCATTAAGTGTATAATAGACCATATATTGTTATCTAACCAATCTTTATAGAATAGTGATTTGTTTCGGTGCAATAAAAATTGATTGTTCCAAATGATTATAGAGTGTGGTGAGTAGTTATGTACATATATCATTTTCCAATACAATAAAATTTGTTTATGGAACTCTGAAAGTGTAATGGGGAGTTTGTTTATATCGTATTCAGTTAGGAGAAGAATTTTTAAGCCACCAATTTTGTTAAAGATGTAATTGGGGATACTATACCAAAAGGCGTGTGGGTGATTTAACCAACATTTTAACCAGTTAATCTTTGGGGTGCCATTAAGACATTCAAAGTCAATGACCTTTAAACCTCCATCTTTTATTTCTTTAGTCATATGAGCCTTTTTAAGGTAGTGCGGTTTGTTTCTCCAAATAAAGTTAGTTTGTTTGATTTATTTTTTTAATTAGGTAGTTTGGTAAGACAAGGTTACTGGTTGGATAAACTAATCTTGATAAACATTCCATTTTGGTGAGATAGATACGACCTAGAATAGAAAGGTCACGTTGGAGCCACAGGTTAAGTTTAGAATTTCCTTCTTTAAGTTTATTTTCAAAGTTTAAGACTGAATTAAGTTTAGGGTTTTTATTGATAGTCACTCCTAGATATTTAACCTCAGATTTGATAGGGATATTACGTATTTCAGAGCTGTAGAAAGAGAGAGATGCGACACGCTTTGAACTCGCCGACTCGCGGTCACGTGGTTCATGGAACTCTCAGTAGTTCCAAACATCCCAGCGCCGTAAGTCCGTTTGAACGGCGTATGGTGGGACAAATCACAAAAATTGAATACTGTCATATTTCCCCTGATGATTTATGGTAATTATTGAATAATATTATATATTATGTCCTAACTCCTTCACAAAGTAGCCTATTTATTTATTTTCTGACCATTAGTAGGAAGACAGACACCCGTGACTGTTCTACATTACAGGAACACGACAGTCCTAACACATTGTAGAACACATACATTACTATAATATGTTACAGAAATAAATTTGATGTAGTAATGCAACACACTGTTCTAATATATGCATATTTAATAACTTTAAATCCCACAAGAAGCCCTAAACTCGAGTTGTAATATCCATTTTAAAGTGGGTTGACCATAAAAAGCTAGAATTCTGCTCCAGCTTACCTTGAAGAAAACATGTAGCTGTTAATGCTTTGAATGATGATCTATTATGTTCAGTAGAATACATTTTACAGTCATTACTTTGTATATTTATGTGAAGACAGTACATGCATCTATAACCCAGTTTATCTGGCTTCTATAGCAACTAATTAAAAAGAAAATCGCAATAAAACTGTATGGTTCATCACAGTAGATAAAAAAAAAGTTTGTTAATTGTGAAAAAATGAACACCAAACTTGTACAACATGTATAACAGCATTTTTAATAAAGCATTGTACCAACATTATGTTTAGTCATTACATATGCACAAATAAGCTGAATCATTAATTATGAGCAATGTACTCAAGACCTAATGAAACTCTTTTGAATAACTTTGTTTTGATTATTATTAAAATAAAATGTGTCTGTGGGTTAAAATTTGAAGTCACTAATTTTAGGGTTGGATAAAAATTTTAAATGTAATTTTACATTTCTATATTTTTGGTTTAGTTCAATATTTCTATATGTACAAAAATAGTATTTTAATAATCCCTTTATAGGTTGATTATCTTACATGGGTGGCTGCGCTGCACATAGCAAACAGTCTGAGGGAGGAATCAGAATTATGGCTTACCCAAAGACGCAGAGAGAAGAAGAAAATGGTTGTCTCAAGTCAGCAGGAGCAACCTCACCATGACCAGAGATCACAATAACAAAAAGCTGTGTGCAGTGAGTTTAATGTGCACTCTCACATGTTTTCTATCAAGGCTCTACATGTTCTGCTCTCAGCTGCACAAGGCTGCAATTAAACTGTTAAACGTGGCAGGAAATAAACTAATACACCACTCTACAGGCACATGTAGAGGAGGGACAGTTTACTAAGACTAGGCAAGGCAAGGTGAGACTCAGGGCTGATGCTGAACCAAGGAGGAGGAAGGACCCCGCAGTGAGAAGTACAGCAGAACCACTGCATGTTGATCCACTGACCAGTGACCACACATGTTGTACTCAAGTAAACTGTGGTACCAATCTTTTGAAAAATTAGACATTTGTATTTATTTTATTTAAAAATTGTTCTTTATTCTAACAGTGCCATTATAATTTCAGAGAATGAGGAAAGCAGCAGCAGCAGTGAGGCAAATGAGATGAGGGAAAGTGAGGGGGGACATGAGATGGTATCAGGAGAGGGGGACATCCCAGGAAGCCATGAGGAGGAGAAAGGAACAGGCTATGCAACCAGGAAACCCAGCTGGAAAACCTAAGAGAACAAATAGAAAATCAAATAGGCCTTACAACTCAGTTTTTCAGTGGGTTCAACGGGCTGCAGGTTTCTTCAGGACATGAGTATCCCTCTGCCTGGTGTTAGAACCCTGCAAAGACAAATGCAGCCCATTAAAGGCTGATTCATGCTTCTCCGTCAGCTCCGCAAGGGACAGACACGCATGGATTGACGGAAGCGTTTTGCTCTCATGCTTCTCCGTCTCCTGGAGAGTGTTGCAAAGCAATTCCCTTGCAGGACACCAGAGGGCGTAGCGCTGTTCTGTTGTATCCTGTCATGCATCGGTCCAAGATAGTGTGTTTATATTGTGTTTTTTGTATATAAGAGACTTTTTAACATTGACAAATTTGTCTCTCATTCTTCTCCACCTCTTCATGCACTCGCCACCTCTAAACCCACGTTTCCTGTCATTTCCGTCCACAAATAAAATGCCTGCTGCGTATCTTTTCACTCCTCCAGTTATGGGGGAATTAAACGTTCATACAGTATTTTAGAGTTTTTCTGCGAGGTATTCTTCAAGCTTGCCGTGTCTGCCGCTAGTTATCCTCGGCTCTCTTTATGTTTTTGAGGGCGCAATGTCGGCGGTGTAGACGACAGCGGTGCCCTGACCAATCACAAGCTTGCGTTCTCCGTCTCATTCGACGGTCCGGATGTTTTAAAAAAGTGGGCTTGACTCCGTACGTACTTGCGTGCCTGCCAAGACAGTGATAATGGTGTTGCGTGTCTCCGCACTGACGCAGACGGAGAAGCATGACTCAGCCTTAAGCTGGAACCAGGTGTGTTAGGAGAGGTTTCTGACATGCTCAGTTTGAAGGTTAAAAATCTGACAGAGATGGAAAGAGAGTGTGTGCTCACTGTGGATGAGATGGCAATCACTCCAGGGCCAGCGGCGGCGCCAGG